TACCTCCAATGTTTTTAAAAAATGAAAAATCTTTTTTGTCTGCAGCTAGGATTGATTGTTTGATTTATTGTTCATTCTGCCATTTTTCCCTTTCAAGGAATTCACATGATTCTCCTCCTCCTCTCAAGCTTATTCTCCCAACAACAACCCTTTGAAGTAGGTTGATCTGAGAGTCTGCGACAGGCCCAGTCACTCAGTGAGCTCCATGGCTAAGCAGAGACTTGCACCCAGAACTTGTGACCACCCAGAGCTCTTAAGCACTACACCACACCAGCTATCTGATGCTGAAAGCTATGGGTTCAAAGAAATTGTTAAGGATGTTGGGGCTCAGAATCCGCCTCGGCCTTGTACCCGGTCTTTGGGGCAAGTTCCTCATCCTTTACCCTCCCTCCAATGGAGCTGCGGTAGCATCATTTTGTGGTGATGCCCAAAACAGTTTTTCAAATGGCCAAATATACCCATGGTCTGTGCACAGCTGCACCGAAGAAGAGTTTCCAGAATTTCCATCCAAATGACAAAAATAACTCTAATAACATACCAAAACGTATCTTAGATTTATCTCTTATATCCACATTATCCTTTAATCTGTGCAACACATACATGTGCTGCATCAACACCCCCATAAAGATCTAGCATGCCATAATGTCCCAAAGAAGCAGTGATGCACAGATTTTTTTATTAATATATTATGCCCCATCCATCAGCTGAAGTGCTCATTCACTCCTTTTTACCTGCACTTTTGAGAGTTTCAAAAGATGGCTACTCTTCTAGCCAGTTGCCAAGCTAAATCTCCAACCAGACATGTTTAGTCTGTCATTGCTATTACCTTTGCACTTCTAAAACAACTTCCACAGACCGTTAATATCTTTTAAGCCCTGCACTCTAGCCGTTGCCTTTCAGCTTAGCATTGCCCTTTCCCTTGCACTTAAGTTTAGCAAGTGTTACTAACAGGAATTTAACATTTACCAAAGAATTATTTTAACTATAGGTTTAATAGCATTTTTACGGTTCCCTGAACACCCAAGAGTATACTTATCAGTTCCATCTGCTTAGTTCTCTCCAGTCTGCTTACAGAGCAGGCTTTTTTTATAGAATTACAGAAGGAAGAAAAATAATGGTTCTGCTATTTTTTTTAAATGCCCAGCACCTTACAAGGTCTCTTCTTATTTTTTAACATTTTCAAAGTGGAATATTAAAAAAGTAATGATTGTCCATCTATATATCAATTCCCAATGCATGCAATCAATCCACAATTACGTTCTTTGAATGGTATTCCTTTGTCTTATTTTAATGCCCTCATTTTAGTATTGTTTAAAGCTAGCCAAGGGGCAACCTGTTCTCATTGGAAGTCACTAATGAAAAGAAGAAGAAAAAGAACAACGAAAAAGGGTGATAGTTCAAAGGAGCATCGGGCTCTCAGGGAGGCTTAAAGTCCAAGCACCATGTATGTTTTTGCTTTATCTTAAATGAAAAAATGACCCATGATGATAGACATAGTCCTTGAACAGACCATGAGTTTGTTTATTTATCTAGAATATCTTTATACCAGTCATCAGAGTTATTTGACCATCATATAACCACTGTCAGCCACGTTGGTGTTATTTCTTTATATCCTGTCCTATAGATAAAATTCTCAGGACAGTCCAACAACAAAGGCACCACATCTCATCTATAACAAAGGCCCAATTAAGAATCGGGTCTTAAAATAATGGGAAAATGAAAAGGTTTTGGCCTAGCGTTGAAAATAATCAAGTGTTGCACAACAACCCCTGGCTGGGGGTTGAATATTCAGGATGGGGACCACACGTGCTACAACTCCTTGTAGCCATGGCATGCCACATGCCTCTGTAAATATGTAAACATACTATAATACTATAAAAGATGGTCAGCAGCAGTGAGAATCAGGGTGTGTATGGGGTTGCTGATTGTTGCATTACCCTGCCTGTTGAAATTCAAGAGACCAGCAGTATATTCAGTTCCTCTTTTTTGTGCTGGTACTGCTGCATTTCTCAGCTAAGAAATCTTCAGTCCAGTACCAGGGGATTAAAAAACCCTCTGCACTTTATGTATCCAGTCCTGGGGTAGCTCAAAGACTATATATGGATCAGTCTTAAGGCTCAACTAAAAGGATGGGTCCCTTTCTGGAAGTTTTTCACCAGCAACAAAATGCCATCCTGCCTTTCAGTGTATGTTCAAGAATTGCATCAAAGGAGGCAAGATAATTTTCACCCATACAAAGTGCAGAAAGTAAGTATTCATGTCTCAATTGGCTTTGTTTGTTTTAACTAGCACATTCACAATCTGGATTGATTGAGGTCATTTTAAGAAAGTGAAAAAAGCTCCAACCAGGGAAAAAATCACACTGAAGCAATAAAAGAGAAAGGAGAGGTATGCTTTTTTTCTCCTACATCTTCACTATAATGCACTCCATTGGGTTGAATTCAGACTATATCAATAACAATTACGAGTAGGTGCAACTGAAATCAATGGGACTTGATTTAGTCATGACTAACATTTCATATTGGAGAGGAACCTAAGCACAACTAACTTCATCTGGAGCCAATCCATTGGTTGTACTTGAACTTACATCGCATCCCATAAATACAATTAAAAAGTCAAGTATGGTTTGAGCTAAGCTAAACTGCAAGTTTTACTATCATACTAAGGAGTACCATTAGTTGCAAAAGGACACCTGTCACCTGAACCCAGTATAAAATGTTTCTTCCACCCTAACATGGCAGTGTTACTTAATGACCAATTTTAAAATAGACTCATAAAGAGCAGTTGTAGTACAGCACAGTTCCTTTTCAGTCACAAATATTTTAGCCAGGATTCATCTTCCTTGCTTTGAAAGGTGGATTTCAGTGTTGACAAATTGTCTGCTTAAGTTTGGCAAATCGGAGTGATGTTTTTCTAATTCATGTTAAAAGATTTTACTTTGGCCTTTAATCAGGAAATACAGCTAACTAGAAAGAACAGGCACAGCCAGAGACTTTAAATGGGCTCCCTTACTAAATTAGAATGATTTGATAATGATTTTTGAGATAAACAGCTGTTGTCCTGAGTATGTTTCCTGACCCATACAGAAGCTTTGGTTTTATGCCTTCTTGTCATGGCATAACAGTTCCTTAATAATTAGTATACTTTCTGCAAATAGCGTATCTTCAACTATTGAAGGTCACTGAATAAACACAAATCGTTATTCAAATAAATAATGATCACAACAGTTAATTTACCTTCTGCAGGGATGATTTGCAAACATCATTTCTAAATTTCCAGCCCAATTCATTCTTGGCTCAAGTTATGGAAGGTGGCATATAAATGCAGAAGCTGGCAGGGCATGATGGCTTGTTTGTCAGGATTCACAGAATGAAAGTAGCTCCCTCTGCTGGCCTGACAGAGAAGGTAGCTTGGTTCACCTTGCAGATACCTGCAGGATAACTCTCTGACCTGAAGGAGTTTGAAGATTAAGGCCAGAGCAATCATGTAGACCAGCAAGAAGCCACAGGAAACCCTATTAAAGGGTTCCTAGTCCTCAGCTTTACTACAGCAATGTGAGTTTTAGGGATTCCTGCTCTGTGTCACTGACCTAATTTCTGCCTCCCATCCTTGTGTCTTGACTCTCACCTGGTCCTGACTCAGCATTCGCCTCTGATCTTGCCATGATTTCTCAGCGTCTGACCCTTTCTCGCTCCTGATTGCCTTTTCACCTCTAGGCCTACCATATGTCACCAAGTGCCCAAGCCTTGCCTGAGTAAGCTTTCATTCCCTTTCTGCCTCCTGGCATTCCAGCCAAGGACATGTGCAGATTACATCCTGGCACTGAAATCAGAGAAAGGGGAGGCTTTTGTTTTCTGTGAGAAAGAAGGAGAGGAAACTACCTGCAAGCAGAGTATGTTTTTCAGCATTAATGCAAGAAGTAGGCCAACATTTTCCATATTTGCCTGTTCAAACCAGCTTGTACTACTATTAGCACAGCAGGGTCAGCTATGCTTACAGGAATCAAACTGCAGTCTCAGCTTTTCTGCACCTCATCACCAAAGATAATCACTGCTACCTAAAACTTATTTTCTGCTCTAGCTGGCTGATGGCAATGATGTATAGATCAAGAGTGATGTAGATCCATCTGCATAAGCCACGTTGATTCCATACAGACATAAAGAGGCCAAGAACCCTCACTAACCCAGGAGAGAGGAAATAAGAGGAAGCATAAAAGGAGAGAACTTTTAGCAGGGAATCAAACAAGTGTTACAAGCAAATCATAGAGAAAATATATAATCAGGAGATGCACAGTCTTACTAGAACAATGACTGGCATTTTCTCACCCAGAGTAGAAATGGAAAACAATTTAAACCAAGGCTCAGAAGATGGTCAAGAAAGAACAAAATTCAAATGTCTAAGAATTCAGCCTGAGAATACCAACTTTTCTTGAGTTGTTTGGATTCCACAAGCTTGCGAATGGTTTTTCTTTTATGTTCCTTAATTTTATGTGAATTTAGTTGTTGAAAAATGGAGAACATTTTTAAAAAAGACCAAAAATGGGCATTTCTCCCATAGGTCAAAGCCTGTATGTATGCATGCTGGGGAAATATTTCTAGGAGTGCAAAAGTGAGCAACTGTGAATTTACCCAAAAACATATGAATGCTTTTGTACAAAATCCATTTGTCAGTGGGGAAGATAATGAAATGAAAAGTAAAAAGTAAATGGAATGGGTTTTACAATATCCATATTTTTCCAGGAGGAGAGAAATTATTCCAAGTTAGGCAGACGTCCATCCAATTTTAAGTGATTCCTCTCTCTTCCAGCCGCTCCCCTATTGCCCTATCCCACATTGCTCAGGAAGGGCCCTTGGAACAAAGGAGAGGAGGGGAGCTTTCCTTACATTACTATCTTAGGTTTCAAGCCACAATTGCTACATTCATTTTTGATTTTAAAAGTTATTCATTACCTTAGATCCCCAGGTCATGGAGGAAGAAAGAGTTCAGTCCTTAAAGGATACATGTTTCTTCCGTATATGGGACTGTAGAAGCCGTCGCACCAACTATGTAACTGTAGAAGGAGACTTCCAGCGTGTAGCAGTAAGAGGTATCATCCAGTAACCCACCGAGGAAGCGACGTCCTGTCCCTGCCTTAACAGCATCACGATTGAAGGAGGTGCTTGACTGTAATAAGAAGATGAAAAAGCAGATTAGAGAGAATTTCTGCTACGAGATTAAAACAAGATGACGGGAAAGGCATTTGCATGGGGGGAGGGGGACACACACATTACACCTCTGACAACTGGGGAATTAGGATTCTAGCCCCACTTGGCCTTGAAATTCATTGAGCTTCATGACAACAGTTCCTCAAGCCACTTCTGCCCCCATTCCCTTATAATATGAAAGTGAAGGACTTATTGCATTTTTATCCCACCTTTTTCCCTCCAGGGACCCAAGGCAGTTTACATAATCCACCTCTCCATTTTATACCCAGCTCTACCTCTCGTTTTCCACCAATCCAGGTGAGGCAGTGGCTGTACTGAACCGGTGCCTGGCTGAGGTAATGGGCTGGATGAGGGCCAATAAACTGAAGCTCAATCCAGACAAGACGGAGGTCCTGTTGGTTGGCGGATCGGGCTTCGGAGAGGGTGAATTGAACCTTGTCCTGAACGGGGTTGCACTCCCTCCTAGGGACAAGGTCCGCAGCCTGGGAGTGCTCCTCGACCCGGAGCTTTCACTGGAAGCTCAGGTAACAGCAGCGGCAAGGAGTGCTTTCCTCCAGCTTCGGCTGATTCATCAGCTGCGCCCCTACCTGGAGAACGACTGCCTGGCGACAGTGACACATGCACTGGTGACTTCCAGCCTTGACTTCTGTAATGCGCTCTACATGGGGCTACCCTTGAAGACGGTCCGGATACTTCAGTTGGTTCAAAGTAGAGCTGCCAGGCTGCTGACGGGGACTGGGCGTTATGGTCACATGACTCCAGTTCTCCGTCAGCTTCACTGGCTTCCCATTGAAGTCCGGGCCCAATTCAAGGTGTTGGTAATGACCTATAAAGCCCTAAACAGCTTGGGTCCTGGTTACCTGAAGGAGTGCTTACATCCATATATGCCCAGCCGCCCCTTGAGATCAGCAGGAGAGGCCCTTCTCCGGGAACCCTCCATGAAAGAAATTAGGAGGGTAGGTACTCGGAGGAGGGCTTTCTCTGAGGTTATGGAACGCGCTCCCCAGAGAGGTCCGCCTGGCGCCGTCGTTATTTGCTTTTCGGCGCCAGGCGAAGACCTTTTTATTTAAGCGGCATTTTAACTGTTAGTATTATTTGATATTATCTGGCCAGGGCGGCTTATTTTATATTGTATTGTTTGGATTTTTAATGTTTATATTTATTGTAATTTATATTATAATTACTTTTATTTATTGTTGTAAGCCGCCCCGAGGCTTCGGCGAATGGGGAGGCATAAAAATGTTTTAATTAATAAATAAATAAATAAATAAAATACTTACAAAATAATCTGTAAAATAGGTTAGATTGTGTGGGCCAAAGTCTTCCAGTAATTATCGTGGCCTGGAGGGGAACAGTTTTGCCACACGGGGCTGTGCAGGGTGGTCCTCAATTCTCATGTGTGGTCCTCCTCCACCTCTCAGATTATGTGCTGAAGAAACTACCAGCTGTGCTCAAAGGGGTGCAGATGCTGCTATTGCATATATGCTTTCCCCAGATCGGACAAATAAATAACTATTTGGGAGAAAGAAATTTTCATGGAAATGCAGCACTTGGAGAAAATGTTAACATGCTGCACCCTCCCTTGCTCTATCTACTATTTCTTAAACTTTAAGGAACTGGGAGATGCAATCACAGATGCCTGACATACCTTCCTGTTAGATCCTAAGCTCCAGACAAAAGGGAATAATTCACAGAAAAATAGAATATGGTCTACTTAATGCACAGTTTCATTGACACAGTCTATATAGCCAAAATTTGGTGAACACATGGGCTTTCAAAGTGCTGTAGTTGAACTTCCTGCATTCCTCCATCTGCACCCACATGACCAAACATATCACATTAATCAAGAAGATGAGCTGAGACCCAAGATGGGACCCCTTCATAGTTCACCCCCTGCCACGAAACCCGTTTGATGGACAGTTGGAACTCCACCCTCTCCAGAGAGTCTAGAGCAGATCGCAGCACTTGCAACATTGTCAGTGGGCAGAAGGCTGTGAGAAGCTGCCGAGGTTTCGTTCTGGGCTGGGGATGGGAAGCAGAACCATTTAGTGAGAGGATCAGAATTGCCAGTGGAAATTAGAAGGGAACCCTTTGTAGAAAAGTTACCTCTGCCTAGAGTTAAAACATTGGAACAGTTATAAGATGGGCAAGCACCAGAATGTGTCGTTTGTTTCAAACTGAAGAAATCAGCTTGATTTGTTTTACTTTTACACCTTGATGTGAAAGTGAGTGACTAAGGGAAGGAGCATGTCCATCTTTTGGAGCAATCTTGGTGGAGGAAAAATGGCAGCAAGGAAAATAATGGTATTTAGATCATTACCTTTAAAGATGAAGTGCTTAGGATTAAAGGCTTGCGGTTAGAGGGGAATGCCCTGTGTAAGCTGCTGGTGTTTCTGGGGAATCGAGAAGGGGGATGGGAGTGTAAGTCACTGAGCATCTTTTGGGGGTCTGGATTGAGATGCTAACAGGATACCACAGGGGAATACAGTGACCTGCATGTGGACCCTGAATACAAAAGCCTAAAGTTCCAAGCAAGGGAGCCATATAAACAAAAGATAAAGATGGTCAAAAACTGAAAAACCCACTAAGTGTTTCCGCAAAGGCCACAGTGGCATTTGTCACACACCATAACTCTCAGCATTAATCCTTCCATGCACATAAATCAATAGAGAAATTATACAGAATAATTTCCTGCCTTTCAGCTATGCTTTCAATGGAGAAGGATGAGCAATGGCCTTTGAAAGCCGCCTGCAGCTTTGCATTTCTGAAATTTTAATTAGAATTTTATTGGTTGCATTTTTGTGATTTTGATAACTGACTTGAGCACTTTTCAGTATGAGCATTTTAACCAAATATACAGAGCTGAGTTGGGCGTGGTAAGGCTAGGTCCTCTTCTAGTCTGAGCAGAACCACCCTGAGCTCCATGCAGGGCAGCAACCATGTGAGTCAAGGCGAGAGATAAGTCAGGCCTGCACACAGCACCCAGGAGAGCTCCTAGTGAGCTCCTGTTTCAACCAGGAGTCACATTCAGCCGTTCTCAGTGTGGTCCGAGTGACCTCTGCTTTGGAGTATTTTTCTCGCCCCTTTTGGTACTTTTGGAGGCTTGCTCTAAGGTGCTCAGCACATCTTTCAAAGCACAAAGGACAGACTGCCTGAGATTTAGACCCATGCATGTGTTCTTTTTGTTGGGAAACCACTGCCCTTAACCATGTAGAGCACTTCCATGGCTTCAGGAGGCTGTTCTGACAGTCATTCTTCATGAGTACAAGGTGATGGAAAAGCTTGAGGAGCAGCAAGAGGCTTCCTCACATAATGACTGCATGGACTGAGAGTTGCTGAACAGGATGATGGTCTAAGACCAAACTGAATCCTTTGATGCGACAGTCGCCGAGTCCACCCTTTCCTGCAAAATGGAAGCCTTGCAGGGACAAGCCTCTGGCCTGCATTCTAGCACTCCTTCATCTCTTTAAGAACTAATCCCTGGCGTGTGGTGTGATGCTAGCTGTGGCACACTGGCTCTGTGGAATCAGGATGGTCTAGAAGGGAGTGCTGGAGCCACTCAGGGGCTTTGCAGTGGTGCTTAAGCCTGGAGTACCTTCTGCTTGCCCTGGCTTCAGAGTCCAAGTCAGTGCTGGACTCCTGGGTCACGACAGGATTACCAAGATGAAGCATGTCAGCTTTTTTAGCATTCAAAGCATCATGTTGAAACTCAAAGTTAAATATTACTGCTATGCAGAGAAGAGGCTCTGAAGGCATATTTCTGCTCAGGATAGGCTTAAGATGTGTGATACATAATCATATTTCTGGTATATATATTTACATTTGTTCCTATCTAGCTAGCATGCCCCTTCCCTTCTTTTCCTACTCTACGTGTGGGGTGCTTCTTATGAGTGGAATTCAACAGACTCTCTGCATTTTCCAAATTGTGTCATTGTGGTTTTCTGGTCAGTGAACATGTACAACACACCAAACACTTCTTTTCTGCATCCAACCTTGGGCAATGCAGTTTTCAGTCCCAAAATAGGGAATGCATTTGCACCATACTGTGAGAGTGTAACAGCAAGGAGGTGGAGTGAACTCTGCCTAGACTGCAGGTGAGCTACTGACGAAGCAATAAAAGACTTCCCAGGCCCATCACAACCCCCTGAACCAGCTGTCTTTTCAGACTAGAACATATGCTCATTCCCTTCATGCAATACCATCACTGCCAGGAAGCACAACCTGAGAAAATAAGGACATAGACGTGATACCAAAACGTACAAGCAAACCTTTGCACTTCCAACTAGGACCTGTGTGAGTAGAGATTCCTTAACCTTCATGGCTGCCTTTGATCAAGAAAGTAGATTAGGAGAACGTAGTTCAAAAATGTTCGCTGTTTTATTAGCATCTCATGTCATTTTAAAAGGGTATGTTTTGCAGGGACATGAGAGCAGATGGAATTCTGTTTCCTGTTGGCAAACAACTTTTTTAGCTATTTCCCTGAAGTTTTAGGATATATTCCTGTCACTGTGTCCTAAGGAGTTCTCCAAAGCATCCTTTCTAACACCTTCTGATCTATGAATAGGCCACCTTTTCAGCAGCAGAGTTGTTGCATCTGAGGAGAACAAATGAGTGAAACCAGACAAGGGTGTTCAGTAAGTCAGGACAGGGTTCAGAAAATAACAAAAGACAGGACAGAATATAGAATGAGCAGAGAGAAGAATTATGGGAAAGAACACCTCTATTGTATCTGAGTTTACAATGGCTGATATTACATGACAGCCAGTGTGGTATAGAGGTTAAACTGTTGGGCTAGGAAACTAGGAGATCCAATTTCAGTCCCTGCTTAACCATGGAGCTTATTGGGCCAGTCATGGACTCTCAGCCTGACCTACCTTACAGGGTTGCTGTTGTGAAGTGGAGGAGAACTCTGTAAGCTGCCCTGAAATCCTCACAAGAGGACAAATCTTGGGATAGAAA